ATTTTTTTTTGTAAAATTTTACTGAATAAGACATTCAAATTTAATATGAGGAATTGTACAACTTATCATTATTATGATAACGGGACCAAGGTTATTTTATCTGTATTTGTCATGTAATGCAGTATAACCTGCAGTTTAAAGGTCAATACTTTCAGTCAGTTACTTAAAGACATGGACACATTAAAATATTATTCATAACAGACAAATTCGATATTTATTGTTATGCCGATTAGAAAATTGAAGATCAGTTATAAAAGCCTATAAGATGTCTTGTAATGTACATTTTAAGTTTTTAGAAAATCTACAATGTGTAGTGTGTACCAAATACCAATACATTGCTGTAATATGGTTTTCGTAAATTTAAAGATCTTAAAATATAAAATATCTATATTATCTACATTTATGGTTTTGAGACTTTTTTCAGATTTACTAACATTGATCTTCCTCTCTCTTTTATAGTCACTATTAATCAGAAAGAATTAAAATTTAAAAGTTCTTGTACGAACTTTTAAATTTGAATATTATATTACACAGATTATGAGGAGAATGGTCCATTCACCCATTTAGAGTTACACCATCTCATTGGTAACACGACATTGCTTACGTAGTTGATAATATTGTGATTTTTTTTACTATTATTTTTATTATTATTAGGTAAGCATTTGGAAAATATTTGAGAAAATTATAGAAAATACGAGTAGGTACCTCCTAATGAGTATAGCAGAGAATAATAAATTATAAAATAAATAAATGAATAACATACTACATTCAATATGGATTGGTTTTTACGAAGAATTCAGAAGGAAACTTTGAATGTCGTTGTTTTTTTGTTTGGTTCTAGTTTGAGATTTATTTTTAGATTTTCGGCTTATTCGGTTATATTTTGTTTTTTATTACTGAAAAATATGATTGTATATTTTCAATATCTTAATCGAGCACATTTATCTGCACTCCACGAGTAATTCGCACTATTTTTAAATTTGTTCCATTATATTGCATATTTTCCAATCGACATAATATTCTTATCGTGTTTTTTCGTCACTTTTATTTTAATTTGCAGAAAAAATTTTGAAGTCTGTATTTTTATCGAATAACATCATACAACTATGCAAATGTCTATAATTATTAATTATTATAGCATATTCGTTTGTGCGCGGTGCACCATATATTATTTGTACTATTAATATCTATTAGGTAAATTGTTTACCTATATTATACTATACATAAAAGTTACCGAGGACAAGACCTTGCGTAGTTGCGTTGTACCAGTGGCAGTTCTAGCGCAGGGGCAGGGGTGGGCAGCTGCACACACCAAATTTGTTGGTGCGCCTTGTTTAAAAATTAAACAATAACCTACCCACTGGTAATATCATTAAGTTTTTTGAAGAAACTTAACATAAATATTTTACTTAAAAAACATGGGGGGACCTATTTATAAATATACCGTTGCCTGTATGAAAATTTAGTCTTAGAACTGCACCTGCGTTGTACATAATGGATGTGTCCACATTAGATATTGAACTAGTGGTGAACTGGTGAACAAATAATTCGAAGAAAAAAGATGCATAATGAAAAAAAAATTGTCAAGGAAGAGTTTTATACGAAATAATAATTTATTTTTGACTATTTTTTTACCTGAATATTTTGAAAAAATGTATACATAATGAATATAGCGATATAGTTTTCGAATTTTAGTATTATCAATGCAGATGAATTTAAATAATATTTTAAAAAGTTCTGCAAAACATTGTTTATTTTCGGATGAAATATTTTTCTCTTGTTCGAACTCATTTCTCCGATAATTCACATTATTTATGAGAAATATTCTTGCAGAATCATATAAAGTTATACCATAGTTATAAATGTACTTATAGAATGTTTTCATTATCTACATTATATTGTTCGAGCATTAAAATGTCTTAAGTATATAGCTTATCAATTTAATATTTATGTCCGAAATCAAAGATAGCTGATTATGAAAAATCAGTTATAAATACGCAATTAATGACGAATTTACAATTATAGAAAACTAAGTAGATGGCTTCTTTTTTCGTCTATTAGCGAAGCTGTTTGGAGATAAGTGTAACATTTTAGTCTTACATTTTAAACATCTCCAATATAATAACATATTGAAGATGCTGACTTTGCCTTAGTATTTTTAAAACTAATGTGCAACTGCTGACCGCTTTCGTCCTGACAACCTGGTGGACGGTGGTCATAATACGCAATAATTAAACAACGAAGCACTCATTTAAACAACCGTACAACAACTAATGCAATTGAATAAAGAACAATTTTTAAAATGGACGATGACAGATTTCAATTAAAACAAATTAGGTAGCAGATTTGAACTCATAAAACAGTTTAAGTGTTTGCCAATACCATAATATTATATTTTTATTCATAATAAAATACATGCATACCTAATAATAATAATATGACACACAAAATAATATTTTTAACCTATACCTGTAGTAATAATTGTTGCTACAAACTGTACAAAGTATAATAGACTGTCCTCGGTCTGTGTAAAAATGGGATAAGAAATATTGTTTAGTTTTTATAATTTACGGGGTGCATGTCACGTGTTCTCGAAGAAAAATTGGGACGTCGCTATAGTAAACCCCCCAAAAATAACCGGAAAGCCATTCGGAAGGAATTGTTCTGAGTCTGAAAAATGGAAAGAAAAATATTCCTATACGCGATAAACGTATTAATAAAAAATATTTAGGCTGTAATTTATTAATATTATGTATAAAATAACCATATTTTACAAAAATAAAAATAAAAATAAAAGTGGGACAACGACCCATGATAATAGATAGCATCCAGCGTCACAGCGGGACACATAGTCAAAAAGTAAATAAAACCTCCACTTACAAATTACTTTGAAACAACGTGCAGGATTGTAAATTTGGGCATATAAGAGCCAAGAGGTAATCACTGACAACCATTATTTTGTATAGAAGTTTGGAATTGTTTTTACGGTCTACGTGACGATTTACCAAGGACAAACAACATTTCAACAATATTGATGGCTGGCATAGTATATTTTTCGTATTAATCAATTTTACAAAACCAATTATTTAGAAATATATCTAAAAAATGGGAAAAATTATGAATCTATTTGAACAATTACGAAAAAAAAACAAAAACTTGCTGGGTGTGCACAACAACAACAACAAAAAAGATGTTCAGACGTCCAGTATCAAAAACAATACAACAATTATTATAGGCAAGCATATAGGTATAGTATAAGTACTTTTGTATATTATACTATTATGAAAATCATCCATGATCCACCCTAGTCCCAATTTTATACTTATTATAAAATATTCCTCTTAATTTAAATTTATTTTAATAATATTATACATACACAGAGTTATTCTCTAAGTATGTTCAGCCCCATTTATTCTTAAATAATGAATAAGTTCAAATTCTGATTTTTGGAAATTTTTTATAAGTACTCCTTGTTTAAAAAAATTAATTTTTACTGCCATAGAGTACTCCTTTAATGATAAGAAAATCCAAGCATTTGAAAATATGGCCTTTAAGTGTACTTAAAATTCCAAAAATGAAAAGTTAAATAAATACATAATTAAAGGATAAAAGCCAAAAGGGAAGTGAGCATCCTGTATGTATTTCGAACAAGACATTAAACATTTCAATATTATCTGCGGGTACATAGTTTTTCCCAAACTGTAAATCACTGTCATGCACACTTCACTTTTACATTTTTACCGTGATATACTATAGAGTGTATTATTTATTTATTTGTGGCTTGATTCAATAATTGCATTTTATTAAATAATTAAATTTATATACCTTTATATATATATAAGTTTTTATTTTACCTTTTTGAATTAAAAAATATTACGTGACAGAATACACTTTACCTGTACACACCATTAGTCTGTGTTTTGAATTTTTATTATTTACACATAATAATTTTAAATTATTGTTACTAATTAATTATATTATTACAATAATATAAAATATATGTTTTATATGCACGTTGAACTTACCGTGAACGTGTGAGAATTTATTATATAGCGTGTCTTTATTGGTACATGACATGAACACAATTAATCGTAAATAATCATGAAGGTGACGGCAAAGAATTGAAAGTTTTGTTTATTAAAGTGCTTTAAATCGACTATTATGGAAACGAGATTCTGACTTGTACAGGTAGTACTGCAATATGACGTGATGCGGTAACACATTTTGAAACTTGAACATTTATCTAGAATTTTCAATTTTTCATTGCACCGGTATTTCAGGTATATCAGGTTTTCTAAAATGAACATGGATATTTGAACATTTCCAATGTGAGCGTATTGCGGCCGTATTATAAGTATTGTACGACAATAGCTGGGAAACGTTCAAAATAAATATTATTTAAATGTAGAATTTTGTACCTAATATATTTAACTATTTTGTTTTTCATTTAACTAATAATTTACCTCTAAACTTTTAACTGTAAAGATTATTTTATAATACCAAAGAAAAATTTGTTGTTTGACTTCAATAAATATTCTATGGACATAATATAATATAGGTAAAATATGAGTAAATATATAATGTAGTTATACAGTACATTATTACTTGTATAGTCTAGTACCTATATTGAGTTTAAAGAATATAATTTTCAACATTTATCTACATACGAGACTACGGAGATTGCATAACATTATACTACTATATATTGGCATATTACCTGTAATAATATGATAATACTGCAATTTAACAATTATTTAGGGTAATTGGTATTTTCGAGACATTTCACAAGAACATATACTTATATTTTTTACCACCTGTAGCAACAGCAAATCAAGTGAGTTAAATGTATTAATATTTTATAGCATAATATTATGGACATTCGACTTTTATATAAGCCGCGAAATGTGGCTGTAGTACCTATACCTATAATACCTATAATATAATTTGGGTTAAAACAAATTAAATCCGTTCAATACAATATACTGTTTCAGTTTAATTTTAATATTTTAATATTATCTTGTCGGCTGTATAGGATTTTGGAATCGAATTTTGACAACGCAATAATGATGCGTTTAGAAACGAACGTAATGAAATGTCGTTGAGGGTCGCGGTACGGGTCTGTGCGAATTTTCCATGGAAAACGGGGTGGAAGCTGTAGACGAGAGGGCGTGGTTATTGATTTTCTACAGCAATGCGCGAAAAGTGCGACCAGCTGACGAGAAAATGTGAGTTAGTCTTCACTATCCGTACGAGTGTTGTGAATTTCCTGTACGGTGTCTTACTAGTTTCAAACGGCGTCAAAATGAATATCTTATACATCCTCCCGTTACTATTGCCTCTCAGCTATTGTGAATTCGCGTTAAACAGTAAGTAAAACACTACTATTACTCACGCCCATATAATAAGTATATATATAAACAAATGAGACCTGTATATCTGCTGTTATGCTTGATTCGTTTGTAGACATAAATATGTGCACGAGCGACAAACACAGCGGTTGTGTTTATAAACCAGCATTTTATAATATAATAGCGTGTCGAAGGGATTTATAAATCATTTAAATATTTTAGAGTTCAAACAATCCATCACTTTGATCCTTTAACTGTTTAAATTATGTTCTGTAACACACATAATGTAGTAATATGTTATTTATTTGTGGTAGTCTGCAACTCGTTCATTGGAATTCTACACATTTCACGCGTGGTGTAGTCTTGCGATTAATATATTTCGTCTTATCATAACATATATAAGATTTGGGCACGCAAATACGTATTGACGTGTTATGTATACTTAGATTTTTGTGTATATACACGAGTTTAATGATAAATTGATAACGTTGAGCCAATAATTTTAAATTGTTACGCAACGCGTGTATAATATATTACAGCTAATAATAATAATAATATCCTAACAAAAATCGATTGTCGTTTGTTATGTTATTATTGAAGGGATAGTGAAACCTTATCTCGTAACAAAACTGTAAAACTAGAACACGAATATATACACTATCTAAATTCTAAATCATAGACCTTACACTAAGTAGGTTTATCTGAATATGAGGTGTATGATGTAAACGCATAAATATTTAAATCAAAGCATAGATGCAATTTAGTCCTTTAAATTACAGAAGCTAGACATTTTTTTTAATGATACAGATTACAGACTCGTTTTACTCCCAAACACCATACTGCACTTTGCATTTATCGTCAAACAATATCATAAACAGCATTTATGGTTGAGCTAAATTGAGTATTGAAGTATCCCATCCTCAAAAATTGCATTCGTAAAATCTGGAAGATTTTTTACATTATTCTATTCAATAATAGAATAATCAACTGAACTCTATTATTAAAATGGATCATAGTATCATACATTTATTGCCGGTTTGTGAATAACCTCACGAACAACAGTTTTTACATTTTTTACTTTTCCGTTTCCATAATATTGTAATTTAGGTACATTTGTTTTAATTGTTGTCGTTAAACGGCTCAATTCAAAGCGATATCGTTTCCAGCAATTAATATTTAATTGATTTTCGTTTGTTAAAATAATGTAGTTAATTTTCGACCAACCGACGAGTCTATATTGTATTATTAATTGTTTCGCATTATTAATTAATTTTTAATTTATAATTAGATACGAAATTCGAAGGAAACCCTTACAAAAAACATCTATTTGATGACCTTCTGAGCAACTACAATCGGCTGATCAGACCAGTCCAAAACCATTCGGAGAACTTGACCGTTTGGATGGGCTTAAAACTCACACAGTTAACCGAAATGGTAATGGGTGCGACGATGGATAGTAATATAGTTAATGATGTGTATTTCAACACATTTTTTGTTTTAGAATCTCAAAAGTCAAGTGATGACAACGAGTGTGTGGTTGATCCAGAAATGGTTTGACTGCAATTTGAAATGGGATCCTAAAGACTATGGTGGCTTAGACAAGTTATACGTGCCTTCGGATCATATTTGGTTGCCTGACATAGTTTTGTTCAACAAGTAATAATCGTTTACTTAACATTAAACTATATAATTCGTAAACACCAAAATAATAATATTATAATATATTGTGAGGATGCACTAAAAATAACTTTGCACTGTTTATCGTCATTCATAAATCTTCATAAATAATTTTTTAGTCTAGTGATTTATTACGAAAACAAGCTGTAATTGTTGCCAACGACCACACATAGACGTCTAGCCGCCTAACGAAAAACCGATTGTGGGTGGATAATAATATTTCGTTGACATTTGTCGTTTAGTGTTTTCATAATATTTATAGTAAAAATTCCAATCGAAATCCATATAGTCATTGGTGAATAATTGTATAATGGAGGAGCACATAGTATAATATGTATATATTTTTTTACATATATGTACTATCGTCTATCTTACAATATATATTTATATTTTCTATTGTTTATTTGTTACGGAATGTTCGTTTGCCCTTGGGTTTGTTTTCGTATCGAGCAATATATAAATATTAAAGTAGATTGTAGGTACGTACGTAAATTATGAAGACAAACTGTAAATTCATTTTAATGCTACTAAATTTATCTCAACATGAAATATACTACAATTTTATGATACTAATAATAATAATTATAGTATTATTAGGTATATTATACGGTTAGAACTATAGTAATATTTTTGAATAACGTAAGTCCTAATCTGCTCTGACGGGTGACGAGTACAATAATTGAATTTCACATAACTACATAAGTATACCAATAATTTAATGGACATAATACAATAAATAACATAAGCCAATCTAATGATCTAAGTACAGGGATAATTAGATATTTATAAAGTTATTTACCAGATACTAAGATACCTAGGCATATAGACAAATAGTGCACTCATTTATTTACTAATTTCCGGCTTTAGGGTGAAAGTGAGACTAATGTTTGTGTATCTCATTAGATTATTGTTAAATACATATTAGGTATGCTGTGTATAGGTACGTAAATATGATATATAAGTGGAGATGTTTTATTAGTTGAGTAACAAACGGTGATAAACCGTTTTTTCGATTTTACTCGTAAATCCAATGAATCCAATGAGAACTACACCAATAAAATTAGATGTTTTACAAATTGATGATTAATAATTAATAATAATAATAAATTTATTAAATAATAATAATTAATAATTAAAATAATTTATACATTTACTGCGCAGTGCCGACGGAAACTACGAAGTAACCCTGATGACAAAAGCTGTGCTCAAGTATACCGGTGAAGTACTATGGTCACCTCCGGCCATCTACAAATCGTATTGCGAGATAAACGTTCTGTACTTTCCGTTTGACGAACAGAACTGTTACATGATGTTCGGTTCGTGGACATACAACGGAAATCAGGTAGATGATCAATAATGTTTATACGTTTTGCTATTATTTAATCCCATCTGACGACGAGCCAAATTAACCGCACTTACCCTTTTACTATATAAACAGGTAGACTTGAGGCACATCGACCAATCGCAGGGCAGAAACCGCGTGGATGTTGGCATCGATCTGAGCGAATTCTATCTATCCGTCGAATGGGATTTACTCGAAGTCCCTGCGGTCAGGAACGAAGAGTTCTATTCCTGTTGCTCAGAATCGTATACGGGTGAGTTGAAACATTTTTAAGTTTTCCTCGCAAACCGTGTGTAAATGTTGTCGAATATGCAAAAGACATAATATTTCATTGCTTAAGTATTATGCACATACACCGCTCCTACATTTAAGCTCACGCCGTAAAATATGTATCAACATAAAAATAATATGGAGGTACGAGGTATCCATACTATATTTATGCATATATGATACATACATTAATATTATGACGATTCGGGCATGGTTATGACTTATGAATTATATGCTTATATACATACCTAACACTATATGACATATGGCAAGTCGTTCAGATAAATTATCAGAGTATACTTAATACATATGTATATGAGATTAAATGTACGTACCTAATATTGTGCACAGCTTGCGCCAAGACAAAATATAAGGTACCTATACTATATTCGAGAAACATGAATTTTAGTAGGTAGGTATATTATATTTGCATGTAAAATATATTAATACAACTATCATAATATGAACATACTAAATAAGCAGATTATTTATGTATATGATATATAACATTATGTCTTACATCGTATATGGAATAATAAGTGATTAAACGTACAACATTAAGAACAACTTTCGCTGTAAGAACAAAACGGTTAGGTACCAACTGCAGTAGTTGTCGTTATTGTGCGGGTCTTATACGAGATTTTAACATAGGGCCAATTAACCTCAAATGGATAGAATACATTTAATTTTAAAGAGTAATATTGTGCTATCAATAATGGCTGTGCGTTTTTTTTTTAAGTGTTATGCCAACGTCAACAGAAAGTTTAAGGCGTATAAGATCTGCACTACATTATCTAGGCAAAGAACAATAATAAGATATAGTCATATAGCTAATATATAGATAGTAAATTAGTAAATAATATTATCATATTTTAAACGTTTACAGATATATAAATATAAATAATATGTTAGTTTCTTCACTGGCCGCATTAAAATAAAAAATCTTTGTGTACGGAATAATGTATGATATATTTTATAAACGTTAAAATACCATATTTTATTTTTTCATATTTGGTACAAATATCTCATTTCATTATCGTAAATTATATATTATGACGTCCTAATATTTTCGTTAAAACTTGATTATTATGTACCAATGCGTCATCATGATAACTTAATGACATTTTTGTTGTGGGTATTGACGTATACAATTTGGTAGGAGATTATATTGATAAAATTATAATCAGTTATTTTCAATAATCACGTACTATTTGAAAAAAATTACACTTGACTTTGATAAAGCAAAAAACCAACAATATATAGGTAGGAAGTATAATAATATTATATTCAAAGTTGAAATACTTACGTATTTCATTTTTTGGTTTAATACTAGTGACTGGGCATTAAGTAATATTGAGTATCTTACAAAAAAATGCAGACCTGAGTTATATACCTAATAATAATTATAATATTATTTCATATATAATATTACTAGTTGTGGTATTAAAGTAAAACTCAATACCGACTATCATACAACAGTATGAATAGGTTCGTGGTATAAAATGCTAAAAATGAATCTAAATATTTTGATAACTTCATTATGTATTGTAAATAATAATGTACCTACGTAGTGGTGAAAAGTCCCTACTTCGATTAATATTTTTTGAGTGACAATAAAAAAACTTGTATTGTCATGTAAATTGTCAAGATTTTTTTTACTAAGCACAAACATTTTCATCAACAATTAAAATAAAAATACTAAAAATCAGAAAATTTCAAATATATATATATACAGCTTAATATTCGTCTTAATATTTTGACTAATTTACTAAATGAGTGTTTTTTTTGTCCTTAGTCATATTACTTACATATATATGTTAGTGCTTATGTTACTGATATTTTATGAAATAACAAGTTTATTTTTTAATATTAGTAGGTATAGATTAAGTATAAAATATATAAGTGAGTTAACTAGTTTTTCGTATATAAATATTGTTCACTAGGTTAGAGCGTTAAATCAATTGTACAAATGGTTTTTTTTTTGTTAATTTACTTTACATCTAATATATCTTTACGGCTATACAACATAAATATTTCAGTCATTAAATAAGATTGACATCGTAATTGTCATCACTCGTCCTACACATACTTAATCTGTCATATACTATAGACAAATATAAACTATTATTTCTAGTATGTGTTAAGTATATATACTGTCTACTTTAATTTGAATCAAAATTAAATAGTACTTAATGATTAAATAGTCTACAATATTTAGTTGAATTATAACAATTAGCTGTTTTCTGTATTTTTATTTATATAACAGTAGCATACAGTTAGTAGAAAAGTATACAAGAAGATAATCGCATACATTAGCGAAATGCATTTGGTTAATCTTACCTTACCGATTTTCTGAACTCAAAATGTACTATAGAGAAAGGTATACTGGGGACGGGACGTAAGTAGTATGATTGTAACCCGTTTTCGACCTTTTTGATGTGGACGCAATACTTACGTATGAAATAAATTCTGGAACGTAAGCATAGCCTCAAATTACCAACTAGATCCAAATTGTTATCAGAAACCACGTTTTTAAAGTGAGAATTTTTCAGACATAACTTTCAACATAAAGATGCGACGCAAGACTTTGTTCTACACGGTTAATTTGATCATCCCTTGTGTCGGACTGACATTCATGACAGTGTTGGTGTTCTATTTGCCATCTGACTCTGGTGAAAAGGTAATCAAAATAAATAAATACATTTTATAGACGTGTATTTGCTGCAACTTTAGAAAAAAAATGTTGAAATCAAAAAATCATATTGGATTATCAAAAGCGCTAAATCTGTAACATTTTACGTGACATATCGACTTTAGTCGCTGCTACAAGGATAAATAACCTACACAAATAAACCTATGCAAACCATACGGACTTATATCTTTAGACTGATCAAAAAATATATAAATTCACAATTCAGTATAAATTAAATAAGCAAAACATATTATACATTGAATACACTATTGGTATATTAATTAATGAATATACAATGTAGATAATGCACTAAAGTAAGCAATTAACAAATTTAGGTATCTACAACGTGTTACTGTATACAAACAACAATACTTAATAATACATGAAATAATGTAATTTATTTTGTAGCGATTAAAATGTTACAGAAATGTAGTTAAATATTTTAAAGTAACTTACACCTAATGCCTAAATCCTGATACCGATCACTGCTACAATTTCATCCTTTAATATATACTTCAGGTGACTCTGTGCAGTAACATACTAGTGTCGTTGACTGTGTTCTTCTTGCTGCTAGCCGAGATCATCCCCCCGACGTCTCTGGCCGTTCCGCTCCTCGGCAAATACCTGCTGTTTACCATGGTTCTAGTGTCCATGTCAATCGGCATGACAGTGGTCGTGTTAAACATCCATTTCCGGTAAGCGTGCGTTTACCGTGCAGGTCTTATCGCTATACATGATATTACGTCGGGCGACTTTTAACCAAATCGAATCGCTTATAAAGGTCACCATCAACCCACACCCTGTCGCCTTGGGTGAGAACCGTGTTTCTGCACATGATGCCACAGATACTTATGATGCGCCGACCACCGTATTCGCTGATGACCAACGACGGATTCCAAAGCTCACCGGGTTACTTCAACGAACTGGACTACAGGTATTTGGTCCAGCTATATAGAATATACTCACTGTTGAACATACATATTATCTACTTATTTTCGAAAACAATGTTATCTGTATTTTAACGTCTGAATGTCTGTGACGGATATGAAGCATCGTGTTCAGACCATTAGTTATTATACTTACTAAACGATAATGTATTATAATTCACAGTCGAGACAGCATAAGCGATAGCGGTGGAACCGAACAGAAACCTCCATCTTTGACCCAGAGACACTGGTCCTTCAAAAAAATTCAATCGGTACAGCCTCACAACTATCGTAAGTCATTATTCAATAATTTAATGAATATATTTAATAGTATAGCACCTATACCTGTAGTTTTATTTATTTATTTTCTCACTATTTGTGAAAATTATTTATAAATACTGTGCAATTTAACATAGATAATATTTTATATTTGTATACCTAGTCCATTATACACACGTAGTACCTATGCGGCTATGCATATTATAATATGACATGTACTATCGTACACCGACTAATGGAAAATAATTATATTTTTCTAGCGGAGAATGTAATGCCAAAGACAATGTCCCCAGATCTACTCAAGGCTTTACAAGGGGTCTGTTACATTGCTCAACATATCAAAGACGCAGACAAAGATAAAGAGGTAAATTAATAGAATATAATAATCAAATATTAATTTAATTATACATCATTGTATATTATTCAAATAGGTTAATGGCTTTTATAAGTTTTAAGTTGTTTAATGTTCGTATAATATAGACACGTGAATTGAATAATAATATTTATAATATATAAATGCAAATAAACTGTGTAGGACGTAGGTACCTATATACATTTAAAAAATAATTCAATTATTGTAATCAATATACTATCCCTTTTACTTTATCTTCATTCTACCTGCATAATAAAGATTATAAACCATAATTTTCATAAAGTGCTGAACATTTTTGTGATTTAAACGAATTAGTTTCATAGTCAATCGCATTCCGATTCCCTTTTGCCTATCTTTAATTTATTATCAACTGTCACAAATCAAATGATTAATCTTAATTTACAAATAATGTCCACGTACTTTGTCTCAAACAAAAAAAAAACTTTTAAAAGAAATTTAGCAGTGGACTATGTAATATACATTATACATATATTCACTTATCTTTGTTTTTAACCATAAGAAAATAGTGTAGGAACATCTTACGTTTAATTTGAACCAACGAATAAAAAATCTATTTATATTATATTATTTCATTTTTTATCTATATAGTATTAAAGTAAGCAATTATCGCAACTATCAATTTATTCGTATATTATTTGAAATAAAACTATTTGTTTGATGATTTAACAAAATATATGGTATTTTAATCTAAATTGATTCGGTCATAACTTATAACATTTACTGCGGTTCTAATGTTTATTTATGTTTTTACAATGCAACTAGCTCGAGTACCTACTTAATTTTAATTTCCTGTCTTTAAAATGTAAAAACAAATCAATTATGAGCTGTGCGAAATAAATGTATCGCCTACTTATTATACAGTTACGATAACACGTTTATAATTTAAATTTTAGTTAGTTTTATAGATCACGTATACATGGCATATATAAATATTATGCCATGAAACATGCACAAAAAAAAATCACGGCACTAAGGTTAACTAAATAGCAATCATATAACTTTAATCATCTAACTAAACCTATTGTATTATGAGTTATTTATACCAATGCAATATACATTTAAATGAATTATTGTAATTTCAAATTGTAAAATTCTGTGCTTGTTTTGCAGTTTACTTTATTTTATTTATGTATATACAATCTGCCAATCTAATATTTACAAAAATCATGTGTGCTCTTAAAATATAATATGTAAAATGACTCTATATAGGTAGCTACACTAAAAAAAATTACTAATCTATAGTGAGTGACTTTTTATAATAATTTGACAGTTTATTATACGATTATTTATTAGATAGGTATGTATGACATTTTATAAAACGTTTAGATTTTCAATAAATAATAGAGCATTACAATGGACATGCACACCCTTGTTTTCCCTTTTAATAGTAAATTTATTTGAGCTCTGATTTTATGAATCTTAAAGTATACATAAGGACCATACTTTAAATACATTTGACTATCTCCCTATCCCAACGCTGCAACCATTTAACGAAAATAGTTGATGTCATTCGTGCATAATTTAATTCAAATATTACTAGATTATCAATCGTAATTACTAAACACACTCGATAAAAATATATCCGATTAAATTATTTTTTAGATAAGCTGTAAACATTTACATTACACTCATTAGGTAGTTTATTTTGGTAATTGATTGATTAAACGGTCGTCTTAAGTGTCTCTATTAGTCTATCAGGCGAAGTCTGTTGTACCTACATAGATATTTACACCATTTAAGGAGTGATCTGGGGTAATATAAACTTATTTTGTTCAAATGAAAACCAACATTTTTTACAATTAATTTTTTTTGAATGAGTAGTTGAAATGAGTAGTTTCTAAATTATTTTAATGTATGTATCTGTTAAGCATATAAATAAGTACTATTCTTTAAAAATGGTTTTAAAAAAATATAAAAATGTTTAAATGTGTAATATTTAATATGTACTAGATAGTAATATATACCTATACTCAAAAAATTATTATGAGTTAGAATATGTTATTATAGATTGATAAATAACTACTAAATAGTAGTGAATATATAATTATTAAATCAACATAGACTCAATTATTTTTCAAGCCTATCTTATACTTTTCCATAAATAACTCAAAACCACTCGTTCAAATTTAGATTTAGATACACCTACAAATCCACTGCTCAATAGTTTATAAGAAAATTGGTTATTTTCATTTGAAAAAAATAAGTTGGTCGATGTCTAATGGACACTCTATAAATAAATTATAGAATTAGTATTTGATTTATTTAAATACTTGAATATATGATTCTTGAATATACTTAAAAATAACATGCCTGTTGAATTACCTTCAATATTGAATCAAGTATTTAAATTTATCAAAATTTCAGTTTCAAGCCAAAATTCCATATTTTAATCAAATAAAAAAATTATAGATAAAACAATCGTTTGTAATTATGAACTTTAAATATCTTTAAAAAACAATTTTGAATTACGATTAGCCTATCATAATATGGTTAACGTTCTATTAAATGTTCAAATCTTAAAATATAAATTGTACAATTCAAAGACAACACATTTTTATAACTCAATGTTAGACTAAAAATTAAAAATGGCTTAAAAGTTATTTATTCTACTTTCTACCAAAGCTAAAAAAATAAACATAGCTAGATATGTAAAGGTTGATTGAATCTAAGCATTAATAAATGTTGACATATTTAATAAGAATTTTTCTAAATTGAAGTGTAGAAGAATATTCACATTTAAATGAAAATCCGAGCCCAGTAATTATAACTTATAACATATTAAATCAAAGCATGCTAGAAAATTGTATAATAAAATTAACAGCGATACAGACGATGAAAAAAACAATAATCACACAGTCCACATTCGTAGTGACTCATTAACACCTCCATACCCACATCGATTTCCAATCACATATTATTTCGAACTATAATTTATAAACATTTTTTTACAAATACGCTATGCATACAGATTACAGTCGTTGATCGAAGTGATGTAGATATTCAGAATTAACCGAGGCACATCTCGTTAATATTTTTACACTTATACTTATACTTAGTCCATCTCCATTCTCCGTAGGTAGTTGATTTTTTTTTAAGTACCACTGGCAATAATAATTGTTTATATCTCAGAGCTCAATAAACAATGTACATAAAATATAATTTAATGCGATGTATGTTTGAGTTATGTTTGGGTGTTTTTTCCGGGGAGTCTCCTATATTAGTACCTATAGTTGCACCGGGTTAGGTCCAAGACTTAGACGGATCTCAGTGCTAGAGCACTGCAGGTTGTGTATCAGTTTTTTAGGCCGGGGCTAAACAAATATATTTGGCGAACATTTATTCTCGTGTGATTTACACGACCGTATGTGCATAGTAATTACAATGTATAACAATATTATATTTCAGGTGATCGAAGACTGGAAGTACGTTTCGATGGTGTTCGACCGGTTCTTCCTGTGGGTGTTCACTCTGGCCTGCATAGTGGGCACGTGTGCCATAATATTCCAGGCACCCTCGCTGTACGACCAACGGCAACCCATCGACTTCCAGCTGTCCAGCATACCCCGCCGACGGAGCAACCTGGCGCTGCCGCACGAAATCGACTTTTACGAACGCACTTACGGTGCCAACTAGAGTACCTATAACTATTATATTTTATAGATATATCCGTTGAAATCCCGCTGCAGGCTCATTATAAAATGTACATAATTGAATATATACTTATATACGTAGATAACACACACGTGTTTATAGGTTTACCGAATAAACGATATACAGTGAAACCTTTAAATATCAGACACTATCGATACCTGAAATGTTGTCCGCTATTAGAGGGTGTCTACTACTCAGTGGGTTCAGTCTGTAGGAAGTTTATATTTAGTTCCCTGCAAGAAAACGTCCGCTATTTGGAGGTGTCCGCTATTTAGAGGTTACTCATAGCCCATAGGTAACATAAGACACGTCTGTAACACTCGCAAATTATCGAGCTACCTGTTAATGCCACGTTTAGCACCTGCACTTGTCAAACGCATCGACTGGTGCAGTGGCGCAATTATAGAATAGAAAAAGGGGGGAGTGGAAAGCTTTCACCCCCTTCCACCAACGAAAAACCCAGACCCCAAATGGTTTGGATTTTTTGAACTCTGTCTTGGCCGCGGGAGACTTACACGCATAATTTAATCGTGAAAGAAAGATAATACTATAGTGATTATAATAAATCGTATCGACGAAATATCACCACATCTCCATACATCGTATTATATTAAAAATTTGTATTAATCAGCTGGAACGCTATATGGCGTATCCATAATCCATTATTATATTACGCGTCCGTACGCGTTTAACAAAATATAATATTTATACGTGTGAAAAAAAAATGTTTCATTTCCTTCACAGCCCTGTGGACGTGGTATCTTTAAATAGTTCTAGCCTGCGCACGCGTCGCGGCACTATTTTTTGTTGTTTTCTTTTTGCATGTCCGCAACGTACGCAAGTCGTTGCCAATCAGACACTCCGAAAAACCCGCGTAGGCACACGTGCATACTAAAATATAATTGTGTTCTATACAATACGTCAATATACAATATTATAATAATTATATGAGCAATGAGCCATGAGCGGAATCCGCAGCGTGCAGAATCTGCACGTTTATTGTATAGACATTGCGTTTAAGACGTAGGTACTAATGAGGTAAAATGTGAGGAGAGGTAGGTATATAACTATCTGTATGACTGTGTATACCTCACAACATTTAGTGATAGTCATTCATTATTTCAAAAACTAAAACGTTTTTGAAGATATTTTTTTTAACATTACTTTGAGTAAATATTTGTTGAAAAAACAACATTTATCTAAAAAAAATATAGTTTTTATCGTTATCAATATTTTAAAACTGTTCCTGTTTTTAATGACGAAATACATTTTTAATTTCTTATTCTAAACTAGAATATTTTTTGGAGTACTTAGATAGGTATTTAAAAACCAAAGTATGGACGAGTAGCTTATGAGTTATACGCGTAAGTTGGTATTTAAAGTTTGGATGAGCGGACAGTAGTGGTAAGTACTACAGGCTACAGTGGCACAACGGAAAATATTGGTCTATTACTATTATCATCTATACTTTAAATACTTACGACTACTAAAACAAATTACTTGTCCGAAATGTGTTTTTAATAGATCGAAATACTGTGCTTTGCAATATGAAATTAAAAATGTATGTTGTAATTCAAAAGCGTAGAAAACTTAAAAAATTAGTAAAATTTATAATTTTTTTTTCATAAATGTTGTTTTATTATAACTTGAAATTATGTTAAAGAAATATTTGGAAAACCGTTAGGATTTTCTGAAATAATGAGTGATGTTGTACTACGATATGTGAATCAAACCGTATACTAGCTATACACGCTGTAACTATAAATTATGTTTTTGGGATATTGTTATGCGGCGAAATATAACGCATCCTGATGATTATTGACGTTGAACGATGAATATCTTGTATATAATGTGTATGTTCTATATTCTATAGGTATATGAGCAATAAAAAAGCTGATCGTGTGATATTTTATAGAAATCAATCATTTTTTTTAAAAATTATATTTAACTGTTCAAATAACATACTTACCAAAATTACCGAAATATAGTGTATACACGGATATAGCGTTGTGATAATACACATGCTAGTATTATGTTATTCGAGTGATTAATATAAATATTTCGGATCTATGATGCGATGTTATAAAATATGCATTTGAACGAAAATCGCCATCGTGTTACAACAGAGCTTGCAGCATTAAGGCATTTTTAAAACTTAAATAATATCAATTTTCACTTCTTCACTACTAATAATTTTAATTTTGTCTGATGCTTCAAAGAATAATGTTTGCCTTTTGTTCTTTTAATAGTTATACATGCTTCTTTTCACTTATAACCACTCGCGAACTGTATCCCTATAAGATCCCAACCATATCCCTATAAGATCCCAACCGTATAAGGATGTCATAAGTACATATATTTATGTTTTATTACAGATTTTCATTGGTAAAATGTCCGTCGATTAATTCGATGATTAAATCGATTAATCTGTGCAATAGAGTTGGATATAACAAAAATTGAAAAATCATAAAATGCACGCAGTTGTTTTGAACTCTAATTTACATCAATAAGTCAATTTCACAAATATTTCACGTACTTCAGGTTCTGATTAAATGTGTACTTACAACAGCCCATTTTAATATAGAACTGGCCATATTGATTACAGACTTGATCTTAGATCTGAAATGATAATTATTATATATATATATATACATCAACATCCGATTGATATAATGCTGCCCTATACATAATGTGTTACAATATTTTTCTCAAACTAAATATTGTATTATTATTATTATTATTTAGCATCGAGAGGACCTTTTACTGCAGATAAACCCCTTCTCCCCGAAGTTTCGACATGGCCGTCTATCGGCTATAACAATAATAATAATACACATTCAAAACGCTGCACACAGCACGAATTATTCGCGAATAAATGTATGCACCTATAAAATATTAAGACTTAACAAACAGTGGGATCGTGTTTCGAGGTCAAAGAGCGTTGCGTTTATATACTATACACATATAAATTTATACTTATGCATTATGCTTGTCTTTTTCGCTTTTGCGTTTAAACGTTGCATGCTTTGTAGACATACCTATATAGGTACATATCTACTCGAAAGGCGGACGATGTCTGCAGTCGTATAGATTTTTTATCATAATCTATTCAAATATTTTTTTTTTTTGCTATTTAATGGTGCAAGATTAATGAAATGCTGTAGGATGATACCGCAAGATAACTTGATCGGCAGAAGGAATTATTAAAATCCAAACAAACGCCGTTCGTCCGAAACTAAAGTCGGCGGGGCAGTTTAGGTGATATTATAATATCGTGTTTGCCGAGCATAATTTTATTTTAGCGCGGGTATCGATATCGAAATCGTCGGAGTAGTGTGACATTCCTGTTGGATAAGTGTATACATTATACATTATACGTTATAAACTTATTATGACCTACCGCAATCTTTGAAGTACATAATTTATTATTATACCTAACTGTTATTTAATTATGTATATACACAAAATATGTATCGTACTACCTATATCGATGTATTTTTATTATCTGCTTGGACGGCAACTTTCTAAAAGTATACATAATATAATATTGTATACATACCTATTATTATATTATTATACATTATTCCTTTTTTAAAAAGCGTTATATGCATCATCATATATTATTCATAAACGAAAAGTTTAAGTTTGCTCAAACAATCTATCGAAAGACTACATGTACATTTATTATTATTATTACCTAGGTATATATTATTATGCTCCGACACGTATTCATCAATATTATAATAGCATATTATAAAGAATATTTACATTATTATAAAAAACTGTGACTTACTACGCGTGAAGTTTGTCAATCGACCGTCCGTATAAATGTATAGTTTTCCATTAATGTTTGTAGTTGTTTACTTTTTATGCGTTTTTGTATTATATTGATGATATCGTTATCGGCTTATCGCCAGAATAATTGATTTTCGGGGCGTTCATTTTCATTTCGTCGTGTCGATTGTAGCACAGAACAAAAATATGATTGTAGTATTAATCGGTTAAGTCTTGCCGTCGGCCGCCAAAACGTAGAAAAAAAACCGTTTCGTCTGGTCGCGCCAACAACAAACATTTAAAAAAAATTTAAATAAATAAATAGAAATAACGATCGTGGACAAAGTAGACATTGTGATGGACTTTAGCGTTAGTCTTCCGGTATACCACGTGATCCTAGTGGCAGAAACAAATCAAGTTTCACCGCCTGTGTATATATAATAGGTATATATATGGATGGATCCCCCTGCTCAATGTGCACAGATTTATGTAGAATCGGATGAATAATGTTGTATATTAATGCTCTAAGTTTTCAGAACTGTTTTCATATAATGTAAAAAACATGAACTTTTTTTATGTACGTCCTATGTCTATATTATCTATATGTGGGTTATTTGCGTAATATTATTCTAATTCGTTGAATATACCCAATTTATTTAAGTATTTTTAAATTAATTTTGACGGCCGAGTCCGAAGGTTTTCTACACAAATTGTACTCAAAGAATAGCAATCTATTCAAATATTTTTTTTTTTTAGATTTCACCAAAACGTAAAATAATAGGTACTCATTTTCATATAATTATCGATAAATATTATTGTTAATTTTTTGTTACACTATTTACTTGCAAATAAGCAAATAACAGTTCAATACAAAGGAATTTGGGTTAAGCCGTGTAGAATAATTATTTAAAATGATCGTTCAATGTTCACGATTCAAACCGGAACCTCGTAAGAAAATTAATTTGGTCAATTGATACAGTTAAAATAAATTGAACTAATACATTATGATGCTTATATTATAAATTTGCATGCAAGTGCGGACTGGTATCAAATTAATATATTATACTTTATATAAAGTTACGCAATCGATGTTGTAGTATTTTATGTGTGAAAATATAATAATAATGATGGTGAATGCGAAATAATGTTTACATGCTGTATTTCCTGTATAATACAATAAAATATAATTATAATTACACTCGCTTAAGAACTTGAAGTATATTACTTTATTTTAACATTTTCAATGAATTCATAAAATCCCATTAAGTTCAACAGTGTACAAAATATTAATTAGGTATTTAACTTGCTAATTCCTTTTTTGTACACAAATGTCTTTTAAATTATTTTCGAAAGATATTACACTAAATACCTTAATTATTGTTATTATTATAAAAAGTACTTTAACTTTATTATTGTATACTTTTATGAAGTTATAATAGTAGTTACTAGTTTGTAAGGTTTACTTAAGTGTGTTGTAGCAAAATAAAAAATTATAATTAATTATATAGGTAATAATATGTTGTATCAATGTAAATATATTTTAATAAATTGAACATTATAATGCATAAAGTATATTATTTTGATTTATTGATTTGTGGAGAAAAAGAAACTCAATTTGCAATAGATGCGTATAAATAGAACAGTATACAATCTAAATTAATAAATGGGCAAATAATACAAGCAAGTAATATGAATAATAATAATACATAATTTGATAAAATTGTAAAATTAACAGATTTAAATTTGTTTAATATCATTACCTACCGAATATTACAATAAAATAAATCTAAATTATCAGAATTACCTAATAATTTAGTTAGAATTAAAAATTGAAATGTACGAATATATTTTGTAAGAAAAATACATTATTATCTCAAGTGTTTTTCAGATTGATTTTAAAATTAGTTTAGAAGACGCTATGCACCCGCACGTATTGTCTTCGTCTTACAAATGTACAACACAGCAAAAATTGTTTTGCAAAGAAAAGAACCGAGAAGGCTACAGACTACAGTCGTAACTAAAAAATTTAATCTTCGAGAAACTTAGAAAATGTTGCTAGCCGGGCTGGAAAGGAGAACTTTGGTTGTGAAATATCATTTTTATTTTTTAATTTTAAGTTGACTTGAAATATTTATGTTTTATGAAAACTTTTTGCAAAGTGCGGCGTTGCATAAATGAATTAATGCCAAGTTATAGTTAAAATATTACTAATTTCAGCATCATTTGCATTCATTGATTTAATAGTTTTATTCATTTTAGCTACATCGGCAAAAAGCAATATTTTTAAAGCTGAACAAATGCCTCAAATAACTAACCTATCATTAATAAATGAAAACAATAATGAAGAAGATATAATACAATCTCCATAGGGAACTGTAGAAGACGCTTGGATGGAATAAATAATTGTTATAATATGAAGACTATACAGACATAAGGT